TATGTGGATTGCAGATGATGGAAAGGTACCCACACACCTGCCGAATCTTACGCCAAGCCTGGCAAGTCAGATAACACAAGTTTGGGCAGTAAGCATCGACTGCTTCAAAACACCACAGCAAGTACTTCACGGACTACCACCACCAGAGGAACCTGATTTTGACCCTCCACTACATCCCAGTCCAACCAAGAGAGCCAGATTTGAACAAGACCACAATGTTCTGCATTTCGGCAACGTCACCAATCTTGGAAGACAAGTGATCGAATGGTACTGGACTCGAGAAAGTGGAACTTACATCTTTGCTGAAACCCATTTGGACCCACAGAAGCACTATGAGATCTGTCAGTATTTCAGCATTCGAGGTCGAACGGCTTTTGGCACCCCAGCAGAGCCCAACCAGGACCACACTGGAACACATGGAGGACTCTTGGCGCTGGCAGACCCTGCAAGTGGATTGACACAGAATCCTTTACCATCCAAGGATGCGGATTTCAAAGTTTCCTATGGCAGCCCACAGAAACCACGATTCTGGTGATCGGTTTGTACCTCCGAACTGGAGAGACATTTCAAAGTGGCACGAACTCAGCAATCCTGGCCAAGCTGCTGGCCCTGCTGACACACACCACACATCCCTAATCTTGGCACCGGAACACAGCATCCTGTCAGGCAACATCATTGACTATGCCATCCTCCACAATACCCTGGCAGGCACAACGTCAATCCTCACCGAATGGGCGGTACCTTGGAGACCACATGCCCTCCTGAAGCTCCAGTTTGACATCGAAGCTGCAGCGCTGGAATATCGACAGATGCCATACTTCCAACCACTGCCGAAAGTCCCTGACATTGATTTTCGACCATGGACGACCTATCAATCACAGGCACATGTGGTGGAACTCTATGGCAATCCACCAAATGCAGCAGCACAAGCCTGGGCAGACTGGCTGTCCAAAACCGAGCAGTATCTCCTCCAGGAGCGCCCGTGGGCGGCTCAAGGGACCAACTCAGAGCAGTACTTCATCTTGCACTGCAACAACCTGTGACCTCATACCAGCACTGGGCTGGAGCTCCCACATGGGGCCAGTTCCTCGATACGTGTCATCACTGGCATCGGTACAGAGATCCGCATGCTGCTGAGCTGATACTACAAACCATTGGTCATCAGCTTCAAGAGGCACAAATGGCGGCACACGAAGAAACTACGCTGCAATACAGACAGCGCTACAAGAAGGACACCAAAAAGGACTCAAAGGCCTCTTCAGGAGTTTGAAGAGCAGCGAACTGGCATGGGAGAGACCGTACCGCATGACACCAATGCCACAAAGGATGAACCAAAGACTGGCAGATTGGGGAGGTCTATGGACCATAAGACAGGACAATGCACCGTGTCGCCCCAGTTTACAGCAACCACCAAAGCAACAGGCACAATCCCTTGACCATTGCTACAGCTGTTTCAGACCATGGAGCAAACTGCCGAGCTTCCCACTCAGCTGCAGATGCATTCAGGTCATGCTTCCCAAAAACCAAAAGCTGGAAAGGCCAATCACGCTCACATCAACACTGTGGCGTGTGTGGTGCCGCCTGAGAAAGCCGCTCTTGGACAAATGGCAACAGCACCTGCCAGCTAGCATGAATCATGACAAAGCCAGACCTGGGGCGAATGTACTTCATGTAGCACTTGAGCAACTACTTCGACAAGAAGTCACCAAAGCAAGAAAGCAGCATGGCATGACGGTGTTGGTGGACATGTCCACTTTCTACGACACCATCAATCTTGCCAGATTGCAGGAGGAAGCACTCAAGCTCCAATACCCGCCACTCATGCTGGAGCGGCCATGCAGCTTTACAGCGGTCCCAAAGCCATCTTGGCTGAGCAAGAGATGACACCGTTCTTTCATGTAGATCAAGGCGTTCCTGCTGGGTGCCCACAGGCTCCCCTCCTCGCCAAGGCAGTCCTCTGATACCATGAAAAGAACAGCACCCCACGGCCAACCTATCCAGCTGGGTGGACCTGCAAGTGGCACAGAGAGCGGTGGAGAGATCCTCACACTGGGTTGACAGGGCTCGGGCTGAAAGTCAACCCCAAGAAAACGGCCTTTATTGCAACCGACCGACACACTGAGCAAGCTTTGAAGGGTCTCCTACAAGATCATCATGAACCACCGATCTCAACAGTGATGCGAGACTTGGGAATAGATCATCAAGCGGCCAGAAGACGAAGAATCCCAGTCTTACGTCAGCGTTTTCAGAAGGCCAAGCAACGGAAACTCAAACTGAGGACGTTGAAGATCCCAGCCTTAAAAGTCAGGCTTCGCCTACACAAAGGAGGTATACAGCCAGTGGCACTCTGGGGCATAGAAGCACAAGGTCTTGCTCCAAGATATCGAACAGCCCTCCGACAGGCACTTGCTACCCATTTGGGCCATCATGCAGGAGGGCTCTTGGACAGCACCTATGACTTGCATAGCAACAAGTACATGGACCCTGGAGATCAAGTCATTTTGCACCACATCAAGGCCATGCACACACTCTACCACACCTGGCCGCCAGAACAAATCCAACACCTCGAACAAGCGTGGGCAGAGATTCACGATCAACCCCACCAGAAACAGCACCCACGGTATGTGGTACGAGGACCCATGGCTGCAGCCATAGCATATATGATGGAGTGGAATTGGCAGGTCAATCACATCCACAGATGGCACCGACCCACTGGACCATACCTGGTGGAAAATGAGATCACCATCCAAGATCCATGGTGGAAGCTTGAACGTGCATTGCTGCAGGAAGCCAAAGCCCAGCGCACCGCCCGGTTGGCCAGTAAAGAGCACCATCAACACCTGGTTGCAGGCATCGACTGGCACACCTACAGACAGGTGATCCGCAGCATCCCAGGGGAACACAAACCTCACTTGCGGACATGGACCCAGGGGGCTATCCACTTCAAAGAAGATGGCAAACCCAAACTTTGCCCCATTTGCAAGGTTCCGGCAACGACAAAGCACATTCTATGGTTGCGCAAATGGCACCAGACGCAGCAACACAAACCAATGCCACCAGAATGGGCAGAGCGCATCCTGTCAGATGATGAAACACCTCTATGGACTGCTGGCTGGATACCGCTTGAGCCTCAGGAGAACAAGCAGATGCAGCATCCATACCAAGGCCATGGAGCATGGAGAGATCTGCAACTTGCGCCCCATCAGTACCAAGGGTGGGCCTTTACACTCGACGCCACACCATCCAGCTATGATCAGCGAGATCAGCTCTGGGTCTTCGGGCTTTGTGTTCACAGCATGTCCATGGGACAACTGCAAAGGCTTGGGGCCATAACAGGCACTCCCAATCAACCCCACACACCTTTACGTTTGCAGAAACACAAGGTCACCAGAAGCACCAGGAAGCGAGCCACAACTACGTCGACGGCAAAGAGACGCAGCCCTGGCAGCGTGGGAACGAGCCAAGGAATTCCAAGACCACAAACACACAGAGTGGCAGAGGGTGCTTGATGAAGACCACAAGCTCATCTACACCCATGCAATAGCCCGCCTGGCCAAGATCTATGGCAATAAAGAGCACTACATCCACCAGAAGGCCAACAGGCATCAGGGCAAACAAACCAAGCAATACGAAAAGCAGCTCATTGCAAAGTGCACCAAGGCCTGGACAGCTCCATACCACAGATGGGCGCCCCATCGAAGTGGCCACCAATGTGGAGTGTGCGGCGTCCGAGTACACCAGGCCCTCACAGTCCAAGTCATTGAAGACCGACTTCAAGAAGAGTGTCCGCAACTCAGCATTGAAGAACACTTGCCAGAACAAGCAAGTCCCCACCGGCCCATACCAAAGAAGTTGACCAGACAACAGGTCATCAAACAGTTGCTACAGCAACAACAAGATGAAGCACCAGCACCAAACAAGCATGAGCTCGAAGAAACAGCTGGATACCTGCGATGTGTGAAGTGTGGCTCCAATGTCCACAAGAGAAGCAATGAACAAGCATTCCAGGCCTTTGTCACGGGTCAATGCCTTGATCAGGCATATACAAAACCACATGAAGGGCACACCAGCCATGCACTGTGGCAAAAAGGAGGCAAAGTTTCATGCACACAATGTGGACTGAGCCTGCATCTAGATGCCCAGCATCGAGTGATCCTCACAGCAGCCATTCGCAAACCATGCAAAGGGGCAGTCACGGCAGGATCACCACCAATCACTGACTATTTCACCAAGCAAGCCACTGGAGCTGCACAGCACAAGGCACAGATCACATCACCAAGCAAGGCAGAGGAGAGGCCCACAGTCAGGCCCACACCAAGACGGCTCCATTTTGCCACACAACTCACTGAAGGTGAGGACACAATGCATCCTGCACAGGCCAAGACACCCAGCCTTTCGGCAGGACCAAGAGCGTCACAAGACACCAATGCTCAGTCTTCTGAGACAACGCCAGAGGCGACAGACCAGCAGTCCACGACCTCAGAAGCAGAGCCCGAAGAAGCTTTTCAGGTGGACTACTTCTAGTACATCCACCTGGAGCAGCGGCGAATCCATGGCCAATGAGCCACTCGATGAAGCGGAGAGAAAGAGCCTCTAGGAGAAAAACAAAAATGCATACATGCATACATACATACTTTCATACATACTTTCATACATACATTCATACATACATACATACTTACTTACATACAAAAAACCGAAGCCAGGAATAGAGGAAAGGAGCAACAGGAAAAGCTACTCCAGTTTCGATCAAAGTGGAGATGAGAAGCCAGGCTCCGCTTCAACAGGGCACAGGTCCGGATAAAGTGAACCTCTCCTACCAAAATGCTGTCTGGAATATATAGATCGACAAAAAGCTGCTGAGTCTAAAGTACTAGGAAGCTGCAAGGCTTTTGTGCAGAAAGTAGACGAGCACTCCAAACTCCAAACGATTCCGAACTCTGAAGAGCCCAAGGCGTAAATGAAATCAACAAGGATGCTTGTATGCAGTCACACCTGGCCTCTCGAACTTTACTCTTTACCTTTTCTCTGAGTCCTGCAAGGACTTTTTCCTGCCAGGAGGTAGGTATCTGAGAAAACACTCGCAAGAACTTCCTACTGTCCATCTTTCACACTCTCCACCTTTGCTATTCTTGCTGTTCTTCTGCGCCTTGCCCAAAACGATCATGCGGCTTGCTAGAGGGGAAGAAAAATATTAGGCAATATAAACTGCCGGCAAAAAATACTGCACTCAGAAGAATAATGCTTCCAAGCAGCTCATTTCGCTTCATTTCTCTTGCAATGCCGAGGGAGGCATTAAGCAAGTATAGCCTTGGTCAGGGCAACTTCGCTCATTGGTTCCCTTTCTCATTATTCTCGCTCTTGCTTTCCCTGACATCCCGTCCCTAACCCTCCCAACCGCTAACCTGCTCTTTCATCTTGACCTTTCCGTGATCTAACCACGCTTGTCGCTGCAATTCGCTATACATGTTTGCAGCTATATGTTTGCCTTAGCTGGGGAGAACCTTGAACGTGTCAGTGCGTGTCATGTTGCCGTTCCCATCATATCTCTACCCTTTACCTTGCACCGTAGGCTGAACCCATTATACCCCGCTTGCCAAATTGCAAGAAGGAGAATTCCACGTGGCACAAAACACAGGAGAATACCCAACAGAATAGCCAACCGAATGGAGCTGCAAATAGCTACAGGGTCCTAAAAGAGCATTGAAGACAACGATCGTTCTGCCTGCATAGACGCGAAAAAAAAAAGATTTCCTTTGGTAATGTCTAATGTGGATGGTTTTTCAGACAATAGCAGCCCTAGCTGCGGGGTTGGATATGACGCAAGCCAGAAGCAGTGCAGCCTTTTAGAGAGAGAAGCTGCGAGAGGCCACAGGCAGCGAGTCGCCGTGCAAAGACATTCACCATGACATTGGCAGAGATTTGTCGCGTGCTCAAAGGTTAGTGATTTGTGACTAGAGGAAGTTTCAAGAATAATTCCTATACATGCATCAGGTAAATGTTTGAGGTAAGTGTAGGCCCATCTACCTGCGCTTTTGCCACAACACAAAATTGAAATCTGAGGCAGATGCTTGTCAAAGCTAATGCCTTTCTCATCTTTTTCGACGGTGAATCTCCAGATTTTGTCCAACAAGACCTGGTGTGACAACGTTCTTGAAGGTAAAGAGGTTGCCCTAGCAATGGCAATGCCGCGTGGCAGACCTGGTCCACGTTCACAGACAACTCTGTCTTGGCATAGGTGACCACCTGAAAGATCACAAGGTCAGGGGCAGTGCACTGCTAGGCTTTCTTGTCTGAGCTGCACTCAGCCTCCTTCTGATTGAGGAACTGGTCTTTGTCTCGGTCATATTTGGAAAAAAGGGCCTGTGCAGAAGGTGTTGTTACAAAAAACCTTGTAAAGTTTTCGATAAGCGTGAACTGGGCAAGTCTGCCTCACACAAGACACATGAGGCACCTTTCGCTCCTCGGTCTTCTGCTGTGCAAAGGCACGGCGGGCAACCTGTTCTTTGGCGCCTGCAATTGTTGATCTCGTTGAGATCGCTGGGACCGCGTTTGTATTCGTTCGTTGCCTGTCACAGCTTGGATCAAGGCTTCTGTTGACTTTCCGCACCTTGAGTGACTGATAAAGGAGACTTGCGAGCGTCAACTGTCCAGAAGGTGTCCAAAAGGTGTCCAAAAGGTCTCCTAGTCTGGGACTCACCGATGCGCACGAGAAGCTTTCCCAGGGCCTTGCAGCAAGTCTACAAGAGAGATTGCTTGCTTGCAGCTGACCAGCTCTGTTTGCTCGCTGTGAACATCTGAGCATTGCGTGAGCGTCTGTACGGCGGTCCTGCTTGCTCTCAGAAGTACCAGGAGGCTGGGCTCCGGGAGAAAGCTGGTTTGTTGGTAGATCCTGTGCAGCCCAAACCATGCTACATTGATATGTGACTATGCACTCATGATGGCAAGATCTCCTTGATATCCTGCCCTTTAACGAAATCCGTGCAAGCCTGGTGAAGGGAAGCAAAGATACAACAGCCTATCAGGTGCATAATATGTGGCAGCCTACCTTTGTTGCACTCTGGGCATGGATCCCGGCCTGAGAAGTCAAGGTCGCTTCAAGCAAGAGTGACATTGAGTGACTTTGTGACCACGGTGTCATTACTTGAGTCTTGCAACACTACCAGTACTTCTCACTGTCTCTCTGGTCATTCAGCACCTGGCCTCTTCAGCAGCCAAAATACATGCCTCAACCTCCACCTGCTTTCATAAACACGTGTGGGCCGGATTCAATGTCTGAAAAGGCAGTTGGTGCAATGAAGATGAAGCAAGGCGGAATCACGTGTTCTTCAATCGTCTCACAAAGTGGTACACACAGTTCCTGCAGCATTGCAGGCCAAGAGGCAAAGCCACTTCTTGGTTGACAATCAGTACAATGAAAATCTGCACATGGGGCGCTCCTTTAATCTTTCAACCCATGCTTCTGCCACGTTCACGAGATCACAAAGCTCCTCATGTCCAAAGTGTCCCTTCGGTATGAAAGCCAATCACAAACATGGAGAGCCCAGGAAAGCCGATGGGGGAGAACACACCTTTCATGCGAAAACAAGCCTTTCCAATGCCCTATCTTTCAGTTCGAAGTCTCGTGGAGTCTTCAACTTTCGGAACCAAGGAAACGTGTTAAGCATTCAGCGGATAGCGGTATGTTCAAACGTTGTCTTAAAAAAGGAAACGACCCTGATTGCTCTGGCAGGCACTCCTCTTACACATTGAATTGAGCGCAAAACACTCAAAAAGGGTGTTGCGAGGTGATGGCTGTTGCTGGACTCATCCAATTCTTTTTTGCTGTCTGGGAACTGGCTGGCTGGAAACCCACGAAGCTGACAGAATCTTTCCAATGGCTTTTGTTTTGCATTCACAATACAAGAACGTGTTGCATGTTGGACGGTTACCTACAGCGCAGTCAAGCCAGACTTCGAAGGTTGCAGCAATCTTGAAATGTTAGATCACCTGCAGTTTTCCCCTCATTGTCGTGATTAAAGGAAAAAACAACTCCATGGTCACCCCACACCTGCACATGATCAGAGGGCATGAGACCTCAGCGCAGCAGACGTTCCAACAAATATAGCATCTTGCTCAAAAAGCGGTCAAAAAGTTCTATAATCCCCTTCAACTCAAGAATATATAAAACATTATAAATCCAAAGAATCTCAGTTCAATCTACCAAAGAATGATAGCTTGCAAAGACCCACGCGCTGTGTGTCGGACTGGAAGTGGACTGAATCCATCCAACACGCTGGACTCAATGGCCCATGAGTCATTACAACCTCTGAGCCACCTTGGCAAATTCCTGCCCGGGCGATTTGAGGAACGCTTCATCACTCAGTGCATCCTAACTTGTCAGGGCTCCGAAAAAGACCTCCAGATACTTTTCATGTTTATTCGAATTGTTCCTAGTAGCTTCTTGTTACTACTAGTAAGGCACCTGTTACTACTAGCGTGGCACTTGTTCCTACCAAATAGTACTGCCTCCCACTCGGTGTGTTCAACTACACCGCTCCACCGCTCCTTTTTGCACTGGCAAACGCCACACACCCCTCAACCTCACAAGGGGAGCCTGGTCGTTTCGGCCCTGTGCAAACAACACTTCTGCACTTCTGCTTGACAGCTTGACTCTTGAGCTTCACTTCTGCCCCTTCCGGGTAGGGGGTTGAACGAGCTTTCCATTCCTCTCGTTGAGACCACACTTGATTTCAGGAACACTGAGTGTTCCAAACTCATCTGGGAAGCCCAGACGTGATCACAGGGGAGGAAAAACAGCGCCAAGCCAACTCATAATATGGAGGAAACCAAATCCTTGCGAAACTAAACTTCTGAATGTTCACAAAGTAGCTCTGCTTAACACATTATTCGAAGAATCGATGTGCTGGTCAGCAAGAGTTCTAAAAAAGGATCTTGCCACCACTCTGGTTTTGCGAGGGAGTGTGCCGTTCCATGGTCGACTGAGTTGCGATGGGTACCAACCTGATGTCACTGACTGGCCAAGAAAGAAATCCCGGCATGCAAATGTCTCAGGTTGGCAGCTAAAAAAACAAATCTGTGTGCTGTCATGGACGTTTTGGCAAGATCACTGCGGAGGTTTCCTCCCCCAAGCTATGCACAGGTCATAGACCTTACAATAACGCGAGCTAGTTAGTTGGCTTGAGGGCAACTTGGTTCTTAGAGGGATTCCAAGAACCTATGGCCCTTGCGCCTACACGCAAAGCCTTAAAGCTCATTTCAGATCTACGGGAAGTGCATTACTTGAAACAGAACTGGAAGTGCGATGAGCTCAAAAGTGACAGACCCATTGCACAGTTGACAATTGAACAAGTTTGGCTGTACAACCTGCTTTGCTTGGCACGAGGCTGTTTTGGCAGTGCACTCTGCTAACCACCCTTACATTGAGACACTGCTGCTGGCTAGCAGCTGCAATGGTTGGAAGCCGTGTCCTTTCACTATCCCGGAATCCATTGCTCTTGCAATTGAGCAGAAGAATGATTGCCGTCAGAGCGGATCTGCAAAAACAACGCCTTCCTGCAGGATAAATCTGATAAGCAAACACAAAGCGAGCACAAAGAAGCCCTTTCTGCATCTTTCTGCCCTGTGAGTTGAAAAGGTGATGCTGAGTCCTTGTTGGCTTGTGTGATCCAGCCGATGGCCTTGTTGATCACAGCCACCAGTTCACAAAGTGGATAAGCTCAGCTTCGCCAAGGCACTCCATCAAGCTTCGCTTTGACCTTTAGCCTTGAAAGGCCAGACCTCGAAAGGACAAAATGTGTTTTCATGGTGTTTTGCGCCCTCTGTACCTGAGAAGGGGGGGGACGAAAGCCAGCAGCCGCCAGACGAGAGGGTCATTTGCTACATAGCAAAAGGTTCGGGAGAAGGTTGCGGTTGCGGGGCAGGTCCATGAGGAGGTTCTGGAGAAGGTTCCGGAGCAGGTTCCAAAGCAAACAAGGCTCCAGAGGAGGGCTTGGACAGCGAAGAGACTGTCTCAGTGGCGCTTCTTGCTGTTGGGGACTTTCCTTGGGCTTATGCCACTGATCCGCCCAAAAAAATAATCATACGTCGCAGCTACACCCTCTTCCCAGAGACATAGAGACACAGAACCATAGAGACATAGAGACACAGAGTCATAAAAGACAGAGACATCAAATACAGAGAGGTTGCTTTCCACAGGGGGTCCTTTTCTGAAAGCAACTTGTCGCTGCCAACCAATTACCCCAATACATCCAAGGAGACTTCTCTGACAGGATGCCTAGGAGGATGGCAGGAACTATATGTCTCAGCATTGGTGTCACCAACCGTAATCTAAAAGTATGGCATAGATCCGTGACTATAACCAATCCTTAAGCACAAGTTCTTCACGCCACCAAGTTGCTATCTACACGGGCCCCTGCTCTGATAGCGACTTGCCGCTGCCAACCAACAACCATACTTGCGCCAAAACATACAACCAGTATCTATCTATCTATCTATCTATCTATAATCTATCGATCTGTCTATCTACTCTGTATCTATCTAGCTGCGCGGCCAAGCCGGAACAACGTTCGGTGCATGTGGATGCCGCGAGAAGCATCCTCTCGACGGTACAGGTATAGTAGAGACTAGGATGGTTGCTCTGTACATGGGTGCCTGTCTCCACTCCAGTGCTCAATGACCATTGTCCAAATAAGCCTCCACAGCCCTTCGTGATGCTAATGATGCACTACTTGGCGTCCATTGCATCACTCGCATCACCAGACCCCATTTTCACTGCTTTTCTGACCCTCGCTTTGGAGCGCTCTCCCCACCCTCCCAAATGGTGCCTTTTCGCGGCCACCCCCTTTACTCACTTCGTTCGGCCTAAGAGCTGAAGCCTAGCCTATCGGCTGGCTTTCGTAATTTACCTTCTGTTCCTTAGTCATTGGACCTTTATCAAGAAAATCACGTTGCAAGAACTCAACATGCACTTGGCACTTTGGGCACTGCTCATCTTTTTGAGGCCAGGAGAGAACTTCCAGCACCTGGTCAAGCGCGTCAATGGCATTGACATACGAGCGTGGCATGGGTGGCACCCACCGCGCAGTTCGGTGGCCTCTGACTCTTTGAGCTTTCTGATGCCTGCCTTTGGCGGCAAATCCTCAGTTCGGAAATTTCAAACCTGCAGAGTCTCTGCAAAGCTTGCCTCTGAAGACTCAAAGAGCTCAGTTTGTCGGAGAACCTAAGTGGCTGAAGACTAGCTGGCGAAGCTGGAATCCATGAATCAAGATAATCAAGTCAAGAATTAAGGTTTATAGTTCTTTGATTTGGAGAGTTCAGGTTGGGCCTTCCACAAGTGACCACCTTCTTGCAGAAAAATGGTGCCCTGGTTGCCAGCAATGGTAACCCAGCCCTCCTGCATGAAGGCAAAAGCTGTAAGAAGGAACACCCACCAAGAAAAAGAGCACCCTGCCTTGTCTTCGCCGATCACCTGGCAGTCAGGAATTCAATCTTTGGATACTTGACATTGGGGGGAAGTGCCCAGACCAGCCTTGCCCTTGGCACGGAAAACCTCCGCTGCAAGCCAAACTCAAATAGTAAAATTGTGTGCAATCTGTCATTTGGCTGCTACAATGTCTAGCAGCTCTGGCAGCTCTATCCTGCCTTTATGGAGTCCTCCTTTTCAGGCCCCTCCAGCATCTCGACAATCTGGGAGCACATTGCTTTAACTTGGAAGGTAACGCTTCAACTACCAGTAGAATAGACAAACAGTGTTGCCGAGAACCTATCTAAGTGGATATTCACAATACTTTTTCATCCGGCCCAGGGGTCTTCGGCTTGTTCGCTCATGCAGGAACTGCTCGACAAGGATGGAGTTCTTCTTTTGCTTGTTGGGATTGAAGTCCATGTTCAGAAGACTTGCTTGGTCAAGCATGTGCTCCTGGCCCGATGAACATGTCATTATACAGATTCCTTTGATAAAGCACAGCAAGGATGAAAGAACACTAGCTTCGTTGAACTGTACGGTGAGTGCCAAAAAGAACCAGGTATAACTTGTGGCCCAGAGGGGGGTGGCGAAAGCTAGAAACAACGCTGGGGCTCTTTAGGCAGCAAAGCCAGGCCGGGAATCGCAACATGCCATGGCCAAGGGAAAAGGAGAGTGCCAACAGCGCCCCCCC